CAATAAGCATTTTGCTACGGCTGGCCATGCTTTCCACCTGGCTACCCCTACCCCGACCACTTGCTCTGCACCCTCCGCTGCAACTTGCCCATAGGACCTCTGGCAGTCTCTATGGGGGTGCCACAGGGTTCAATTCCCGGGCCGACTCTATTCTCTGTGTATATCAATGATGTCGCTCTTGCTGCTGGTGACTCTCAGATCCACCTCTACACAGACGACACCATTTTGTATACATCTGGCCCTTCATTGGACAAACCTCCAAACGAGCTTCAATGCCATACAACACTCCTTCCGTAGCCTCCAACTGCTCTTAAATGCTAGTAAAACTAAATGCATGCTCTTCAATCGAACGCTGCTTGCTTGCACCCGCCCGCCCGACTAGAATCACTACTCTTGGCGGGTCTGACTTAGAATATGTGGACAACTACAAATACCTAGGTGTCTGGTTAGACCGTAAACTCTCCTTCCAGACTCACATTAAGCATCTCCAATCCAAAGTTAAATCTAGAATCGGCTTCCTGTTTCGCAACAAAGCCTCCTTCACTCATGCTGCTAAACATGCCCTCGTAAAACTGACTATCCTACCGATCCTTGACTTCGGCGATGTCATTTACAAAATAGCTTCCAACACTCAACTCAGCAAATTGGATGTAGTCTATCACAGTGCCATCCGTTTTGTCACCAAAGCCCCATATACTACCCACCATTGTGAGCTGTACGCGCTCGTTGGCTGGCCCTCACTACATATTCGTCACCAAACCCACTGGCTCCAGGTCATCTATAAATCACTGCTAGGCAAATCCCTGCCTTATCTTAGCTCATTGGTCACCATAGCAACACCCACCCGTAGTATGCGCTCCAGCAGGTATATCTCACTGGTCATCCCCAAAGCCAACACCTCCTTTGGCCGCCATTCCTTCCAGTTCTCTGCTGCTAATGACTGGAACGAACTACAAAAATCTCTGAAGCTGGAGACACTTATCGCCCTCATTAACTTTAAGCATCAGTTGTCAGAGCAGCTTACCGATCACTGCACCTGTACACAGCCCATCTGTAATTAGCCCACCCAACTACCTCATCCTCATATTGTTATTTACATTATTTATTTTGCTCATTTGCACCCCAGTATCTCTATTTGCACATCATCTTCTGCACATCTATCACTCCAGGATTAATACTAAATTGTAATTATTTTGCACTATGGCCTATTTATTGCCTTACCTCCATAACTTACTACATTTGTACACACTGTATATAGATTTTCTATTGTGTTATTGACTGTACGTTTTTGTTTATTCCATATGTAACTCTGTTGTTGTTGTTTTTATCGCACTGCTTTGCTTTATCTTGGCCAGGTTGCAGTTGTAAATGAGAACTTGTTCTCAACTGGTTTACCTGGTTAAATAAATAAAATAAAATAAATATCCTTTGCGTCGGACTCATTAAAGAAAAAATCTTCGTCCAGTTCGAGGTGTGTAATCGCTGTTCTGAAATCCAGAAGCATTATGTACAAAATAAGTTACAAACAATGCAAAAAAACACACAAAATAGCACAGTAAAACGGCAGCTATCCCCTCCGGCGCCATTATATCATGTCATTGGAGGAGTGGGTGATTGACCGACCTCTTCCCCTCATATTGTTTTTCGTTGGCTACAGCTAGAGATGCTGCAGGTGTCATTTGGTTAGCTAGCAAGAAATGGCTAGCTAGCTATGCCGAACTTGACGACTGTTATCCACAGTTAGCATATCTCTTAGTTGCCAATCAAATGTATTTGCCATCACTCTAATGGGTGAGCAGGGAGTCAAGTTCCCATTCAGTTGTCAAAACGTGGGTTGGGACATGCATGCATTGGCTGGCAAGCTGCAGAAGGACGAGCAGGCTACTATTCCCCATCGTTTATCAGTCAATTTTGATGGCCAACTGGCTGAGAGTTTGAGATGGTTTATCTAATGCTCCCTCGTTAGATTTTAGCTCATCTTGCTCTGGCTAGCATTAGTTGTTGATGTTGTTGTTTTTGATGTGCATAGGTAACTGAGGGAGAAAGAGCTTACCTTTTCATGGTTGTTTGATCAATAGGATTGTGAAGTTACCAAATGTAAGAAGACTCCCGTGGTATTTGCAGAAATCCATTCAGGTGCATTTTGTAGCTCTTGGCGATTGCGTTCTAATGCTCTAAAGTCGTGCTGTTGCTTTTGCCTGTAAACACAGTCCATTTCAAAGTGAATGATGGCAGGCCCGTGTGGCAAATGGCTTATTTGCATATAGGCCTACTGTAGCTCTGATTGGCTATGGTGCACCAGTCTGCATAGACTCCCGTCTTGGACAGGACAGATTTATTTACTGAAGTGTATTAATTGTCCAAACACACGGCCGCTTTCCCACTCTATATTGCTATACAATTTTCACAAATGCCTTAGTATACGTAATTCCCAAACATTCTATGAATTTATGAAAATGTGAACATGACCATATCTAAGTGCTCGCTTGTCAGAAAATGTAATTTAAAAAAATTCATCCTGGAGATGTATATGAACAAGATTTAATGTTGCTAAAATGGTGCACTTTAAGTGCCTTTGAACAGGGTATGGTAGTAGGTGCCAGGCACACCGGTTTGTGTCCTGCCGACTTGACACAACAGTGGGAAGCATTGGAGTCAACATGGGCCAGCATCCCTTTGGAACGCTTTAGACACCTTGTAGAGTCTATACCCTGATGAATTCATGTTCTGAGGACAAAGGGTGGTGCAACTCAATAGTATCCGTGTATCTAACCCACTGTTGTCAATAAACAACAGTAAATGACACAAACAAAAGAGTTATACAAGATATATATATATATATATATATATATATATATATAATTGTTTTCCTAACCATGGGTTCTTTGGTCTTTGCAGAACTTGACAACAAAGACGGCGCAAAGCTCTTCAGCAAGCAGCCGAACCGAATTGCCAGAGTGGCGCGGGGTTCAGGGGTTGCCACCAGGGATGTCCAGGAGCTGCTCACCCAGTACACCAAGTTTGCCCAGATGGTGAAGAAGATGGGTGGCATCAAGGGCCTGTTCAAAGGTATGCACTTCATGGATGCATCTTAAAACATTACTAGCTGTCAAATCCTTGCTTCCTCCATCCTTGTTTCCTCCATTTCCCCCCCTCCCCTCTCAAAGCACATTGGAGGAGGTCTGAGGGAAGGACCTTGGATCTTCTCGAATGCACTTTGTGAGTGGAGGATTTCATGGCTAGTCACGTTTTCAGACACAGCCCTGAAACTGAAGCACTGGTCCACTAACACAATTTTGCTTTCATCAAGTAGTAGGCTATGTCTCTGAATTATTTTTACGTTTACAGGTGGTGATATGTCCAAGAATGTCAACCCCTCTCAGATGGCTAAGTTGAACCAACAGATGGCAAAGATGATGGACCCAAGGGTTCTCCACCATATGGGTAGACATGACTTTCACTTCCATTTTTATGTCATGTCACATTTCCCAAACTATTCCTTTGTTACATTACTTTATGTACTTAGATTAGTTCAATGCTTTGAATATGGCCAGTCCAAACGTAATGACATATGTTATATAATGTATATTTGAGAGAGACTGCACAGAATCCCTGAACTACAAATCACCTTGCACCCCAAATAATAATTTGATCAAGATTAGCAATTCTGTTCCTCGCCCTCTTGCTGTAGAGTTTAACTGAACCCCCTGAAACACGCTTTTGGCTCTTGTCTTCAGGTGGGATGGCTGGTCTCCAGTCTATGATGAGACAATTCCAACAGGGTGCGGCTGGCAACATGAAAGGGATGATGGGATTCAACAACATGTGAACCACTGAGCCTTAACACAGCGAAATTAAAGGTTGTCATTTGGATTTAGCGAGAAGATGTGAGGAGTTTGGATTTAGCAAGAAGGTGTGGAAATGATTTAGCAAGAAGGAGAGCAGTGTTATTTTTTTTTCTCAGTAATATAATTCATGAACATGTTTACGTATTAAATCATGCAGAAAGCATATTTACTTGTCAGGATAAATAAAACAAACAAGTTCTGTGATTTTACAGTAATTGTAAATGAGGCACAAAAGATACAGAAATAGTGGGATCATGAATCTTGTCCTGGGTCATATTCATTAGGCACCAAATGGAAAAAATTGGACTGAAATCGTGAGGCACTACCTAGACTTGTCCAATAAGATATGCTATTTTTTTGTTTTTTTGTTGCAAAATAATTTTTTTTACTGTTTTCTGTGTGCCATAATAAACACAACCTTGATTTGGAGAGATGGCAAAGGGTATGCTGATATTAGTTTGTGGCAATTATTTTTTTCAGTGTTATAATAAAATTTGTATTGCAATGTTTTAAAAAGCCAGTGTTTCCTTTTCTCTCATTGTTGATCATTGACTGTCATAGTTGTCAATCATGGTTATCTCCTTATCAATAAAACTCATGACTATTGAAAAATGTGTATTTGTTGGGGCACTGCATTTCAAGGAAATTGAGCAGAAAGTGAAATTTTACACAAAACATTACTGATTCATGTGATGTTTATCACATACTGTGCTCAAAATGAGTACAGCTCTGTTTTCAGTCCAAGTCAAGCGCTTAACATATTTAATTTATTCACAAGGAAATGTTGAACCAAGAGGCTCCCTCATTTTTCAATCCCACAAGCAGAAAAACTGTTTTATATAGATAATTCTCTCTGTTAGAATGAAACCAGACACCTCCAAAAAATAACTGTTTGAAAAAATAGAACTGCACCTAATCACTCCTCACGGATTGACGGGTCATGGCTAGAGGGGATACAGTTTATATCAAATAGGCGCGAAAAGTGATTTTTTTTTTCTTTTTAGCTACCCCTAACCCTTTTCCTAACATTGACCTAATTCTTCTAACCTGCTACGTTAATTCTCCTTACCTGCTGCGTAAATTCTAAACCGCTACGAAATGTCAATTCTGACATACACTGTATCCCTTTTAGCCAAAACCCTCTTGACGTGGCATTGCTTCCCGCAGCCATGTTTTGTTTGCTACGTTGTCATTCTACGTTGTGTGCGGGGCGCTGTTCACTCACTGTCACTAGCAGCGGTGTGGAACCAGTCTGAGGATATCAGGTAGCTAAATATTATTATATTTGCTTTAACTGTTGACTTAGCGATATCTTTGAGATATGTGTTTTTCACAATTTATTCGTATTTTGAATGTAATTCTTAACTGACAAGTGTAGTTTGGCGGATAGCTGAAGCAGGGTGAAAACATTTTTGACACATTGCATTGCCATTCGCTGGTGCCGGTGGTTTAGTTAGCGGCGTAGCTAGTTAGCTAACTGTTTGCTAACATGCCATGGTGAAAGCAAGAATGACTTCTTCTGTCTACTTTTGACTTAGGCAAAACAAAAAAAATATAACTAGGATATCCTCCCTGAAACATTAAACATTTGTTTTTGGCGTACCCCTGTTATGTAGCTAGCCAGCCAGCTACCTACCACGTAAGCTAACTTTAACGTAACTTAACTAGCTACAGTAACGTTAATGTTGTTGTAACTAGAGGGACTGGCTGTGTTCATTCAATCAAAATAGCTTTGCTTGTAATCCAGCATCAGTTTGTAAAGCCTGTTGATTGATTCACCATTGATTTTATTTGATTGATTCAGGTCAGCTAGCTAGCTCGTTAGATAAAAGCCCAATACAGTCAGTGTTAAAATTTTTAAATACCTTTTGTTAGCCTAACTAGCTATAAGGACATCTCTGATAGAATATCATCTGGTCAAATATTGTGTCTGGAGAAAGCAAAGGTAAGTGATGGTTCAGTACAATGAGTTTACTAGCCAACTAAACTATGTATACCCTTCTATTTATTCAGATTCAGTGTGTGTTTTCAAAGTAAGTTATTTTAAACCGATTTTATCAGTGGGTGAAAAAGTGGATCACAGTCAGGATCATATTCTGGTATTTAGTTCTAGCCATGATTTTAGCCCCATTTAGACGTAAACCAGAATTTCCCATAGGTTAAATCATATTTGGCTGCATTTCCTCTGCCCCTTTATTGATATGACACATTCAAATTGGTAGTAAGCCTGCTGGAGTGTAACGTTATGCTCAAAGTCCAAAAGGGTATCTCAGAACACAGGACAGGTAAATGGGCTAATAAAAACAGCCAAGCCAGACGAATAATTTATTACATTTGTAAAGTGTTTTTTTATATGTACAGAAAAAATCTCAGAGCATAAAAAAATAAATATGTAATAATAAATAACAAAAAGGAAAAAATAAATAATGATAATATCATAAGACTCATTGCAGTGCAGTGGACTATTATATTATTCATGCTATGTTGAAATATCAAATGCAATCATGACCATAAAATGTATATATTGCTATAACATGCAGACACTCCTTTCCCTCCCTCTGTCTGTAGTTCTCGGAGGGTGCTATGGCGACCTTCCCAGAGTTTATTGCACAGAATGAGGAGCGTGATGGGGTGCGCTTCAGCTGGAACGTCTGGCCCTCTAGTCGTCTGGAGGCCACCCGCATGGTGGTCCCCGTTGCCTCTCTGTTCACCCCTCTGAAGGAGCGCCCAGACCTGCCCCCCATCCAGTATGAGCCTGTGTTGTGTAGCAGGGCGACCTGTCGCGCTGTCCTCAACCCGCTCTGGTAAGTGAGGCAACAATCCTCATTCACTTACTTAAACATAGGGTTGCAAAATCCTGGTAACTTCCTGGAAAACCAGGGAATTTTGGGAAAGTAAATGATTCCCTATTCTCTCTCTTCCTCATTAATTTATACTTATCAATTTATAACTGTCATCATCAGGTGATTTGTACTGTACATATCCTTGGGCAATCCTCAAAAGGTTCACATGTAACCCACTGAAAAAATTATTGTAGCCTAAACTGTGTGGTCCTTCTCTGTTTGAACTCTATCAATTGATCTCTCAACCTAGCCAAGTGGATTATAGAGCCAAACTGTGGGCTTGCAACTTCTGCTATCAGAGAAATCAGTTTCCGCCTACCTATGCTGGGATATCAGAGGTCAACCAGCCAGCCGAGCTGCTGCCACAGTTCTCCACCATTGAATATGTGGTCCAGGTAAGGTTTCCCTTTGATCACAGCTTTTTCCAGATAACCAGCTATCACTCACAATAAGGACGTTGATTATATAATAAATACAGTATTTTGATTTAATCTAAATTAGATATAGGCCTTCGTTTTGATATGTTTTAGTAAAGATTCAACAGCATATCAGATAATCGCATACCTACCTCAGTTTTATATCTCCTACAGAGATGTATTAGTTCTCATTTAGAACATAAAATCAAGCATGCAACGCCATGGCTCTGAGTTTGCCTTCCCTGGCCCCCACAGAGAGGTCCCCAGATGCCGCTGGTCTTCCTGTATGTGGTGGACACCTGCATGGAGGACGAGGACCTGCAGGCTCTGAAAGAGTCCTTACAGATGTCCCTGTCCCTGCTGCCTCCTACGGCCCTGGTGGGCCTCATCACCTTTGGACGCATGATCCAAGTACACGAGCTGGGCTGCGAGGGCATCTCCAAGAGCTACGTCTTCAGGGGAACCAAAGACCTCAACGCCAAACAATTGCAGGAGATGCTGGGCTTGACCAAACCCACTGCTGCACAGGCAGGACGGGGACCACAAGCTCCACAGGCCCCCCTCTCCAACAGGTAAACCACTACATAGCTACAGCATTGGTTTGACTTGGCAGTACATACACTAAAATAATTTGGGATGAAACAAAACAAGTCTTAACTTAAAACTTATTTCCATTTTGTTGTGTTGCTTAGATTCCTCCAGCCAGTCCAGAAGATTGACATGAACCTGACAGACCTGCTTGGAGAGCTGCAGAGAGATCCCTGGCCTGTCACTCAGGGAAAACGTCCCCTCCGCTCCTTAGGGTCAGCCATGTCCATTGCTGTTGGCCTGCTGGAGGTAAGACCTGGACAGAAATATAATTTACCTCACTACAGACCTGGGTTCAAATAACATTTTAAATATTTCAAGTACTTTGGCTTGATTGATTTTGCCTGGCACAATTGCACCAATGGAAAAAGTTGCGAAAGTGCAAACTCTGTCCATCTGGCATCTCAGGCAGACTCAAGTAAACGCTTTCAGTGTTTTAAAGATTTAGAATACTATTTGAAACCAGGTCTGCTCATATTTGTGATTAAAACAGAATGGTACATATTTCAATGACACCATTGTCAAATCCGCTGTATGAAGTGGGATTTGTAAGATGTTTAAACCTATTACGTTGTGGTTATGGGTCTGTGTTTGTTTGCATTGTTTACTCAGCTTCATAGAAATGTTTTGTAATTAAATGTCCCTTTTTTCCACCATCCATTCCCCTTCCAGTGCACCTTCCCTAACACTGGTGCACGCATCATGACCTTCATCGGTGGGCCAGCCACTCAGGGCCCAGGCATGGTGGTAGGAGATGAGCTGAAGGCCCCTATTCGCTCTTGGCACGACATTGAGAAGGACAACGCCAAGTTCATGAAGAAGGGGACCAAAGTAAGTTTGGCTAAACCTTTTTACTGTTGACTTTGCCTGTTATTTAGCTGGGTGTACCATGATCTGAACTTTTTTCAGGTCTGTTGCAACTGTCTGTAAATTATGATAAATGCTCAAGTAATGTGTTACAGCACATTAAAGTGAGACAACCAGTTAATGGCTAGATGTGTTTTTTAGCATAACAAATTACAAACAGGCACTCCTTTCTTCTTTATATTATATTGGATCCTCATTTTGTCCTGCTCCTGTATAAAGTTTGGATATGTGTAAAAACCCTTTCCTTCATTTTCAGCATTACGAGGCATTGGCGAGCCGTGCTTCCACCAATGGCCACATAATAGACATCTATGCCTGCGCTCTGGACCAGACTGGACTGCTGGAGATGAAGTGTTGTTCCAATCACACTGGGTGAGGACGCTCTGTCTGGTGAACATACAGGTTCCGTCTGAAATGGCACCCTATTCCCTATATAGTGCACTACTTTTGACCAGGGCTCAAAAGGAGTGCACTATATAGGGAATAGAGTGCCATTTGGTACGCATAACACACACGTCAATCACTCTGGCTTCTCCCCTAGTCCCCTAGTGAGAGGAGAGTTTGTCCTCAGATCTTCTCCAGTGCTCTCCTCTGATGCTTTGAGGAGGAAGGAATCGACGAATGACTTCTGAGATTCACCCTGTGTATCGTTGAACTCATACGCGTATATCTGTTTTTGTAGAGGCTACATGGTGATGGCGGACTCTTTCACCACCTCGCTATTCAAACAAACCTTCCAGAGGGTTTTTACCAAAGATGTGTCTGGAGCCTTCAAGATGGCCTTCGCAGGCACCCTGGAGATAAAGGTAGAACCATTGCACAGACTGGCTCTATCTGAAATGGTACTCTACCTATAGAGTGTACTACTTAGTAGTGCACTATACAATGCCTTCAGAAAGTATTCATACCCCTTGACTTATTCCACATTTTGTTGTGTTACAGCCTGAATTCAAAATGTATTAAATATTTTTAAAAATTCACCCATCTACACACAATCTCTTATAATGACAAAGTGAAAACATGTTTAGACATTTTTGCAAATGTATTGAAAAGGAAATACAGAAATATCTAATATCATAAGTATTCACAACCCTGAGTCAGCTTTGAGTCGTCTTGGGTATGTCTGTATAAACTTTGTACATCTGGATTTGGGGATTTTCTCCCATTCTTCCTTGCAGATTTTCTCAAGCTCTGTTAAGTTAGATGGGGAGCGGCAGTGAACAGCAATCTTCAAGTCTTTCCACAGATTTTCAATGGGATTCAAGTCTGGCCTTTGGCTGTGCCACTCAAGGACTTTCACATTGCTGTTCTGAAGCCATTCCAGCTTTGCTTTGGCTGTATGCTTGGGGTCATTGTGCTGTTGGAACATAAATCTTTGCCTCAGTCTAAGGTCGTTTGCGCTCTGAAGCATGTTCTTATCAATGATTTGCCTGTATTTGCCTCAATTCATTAATCCCTCTCCTTACTAGTCTCCCAGTCCCTGCCTGCGAAAAGCATCCCCAAAGCATGATGCTGGCTCCACCATGCTTCATGGTAGTATTGACTCAGGGTTGTGAATACTTAAGGACATGAGATATTTCTGTATTTAATTTTTAATACATTTGGAAAAATGTCTAAACATGTTTTCACTTTGTCATTATGGGGTATTGTGTGTAGATGGGTGAGAAAATATATATTTAATCCATTTTGAATTCAGGCTGTGATGAGCTGTGCCTGGTTTTCTCAAGACATAGCGCTTTGCATTCAGGCCAAAGAGTAAAATGTTTGTCTCATCAGACTACAGAATATTTAGCCTTATGCTGTGTCTTTCACGTGCCTTATTGCAAACTCCAGGCATGCTGTCGTGCCTTTTTCTCAGGAGTGGCTTCGGTCTGGCCACTCTCCCATAAATCCCAGATTGGTGAAGTGCTGTAGAGATTGTTGTCCTTCTGGCAGGTTCTCCCATCTCTTCCAAGGAACTCTGTAGTTCTGCCAGTGGTCATTGGTTTCTTGGTCATCTCCCTGACCAAGGTCCTTCTTGCCCGGTTGCTCAGGTTGGTTGGACGGCTAGCTCTAGGCAGCGTCAGGGTAGTTCCATATTTTTTACATTTCCCAATGATGGAGACCACTGTGCTCTTGGAAACGTTCAACACTCTAGAAATTGTTTTATACCCTTCCACAGATATGTCTCATGATAATTCTATTTCTGAGATCTACGGACAGTTCCTTGGACTTCATGGTGTAGTTTCTACTCTGACATGCACTGTCAACTGTGGGACCTTTATATAGACAGCTGTGTTTCTTTGTAAATCATGTCCAAACAATTGAATTGGCTACATGTGGACTCCAAGTTGTAGTGACATCTCAAGGATGATCAAAGGAAATTGGATGTACAATGAGGGTAAAAAGTATTTGATCCCCTGCTGATTTTGTACGTTTTCCCACTGATAAAGACATGATCAGTAAATAATGTAAATGGTAGGTTTATTTGAACAGTGAGAGACAGAATAACAACAAAAAAATCCAGAAAAACTCATGTCAAAAATGTTATGAATTGATTTGAATTTTAATGAGGGAGATAAGTATTTGACCCCTCTGCAAAACATGACTTAGTACTTGGTGGCAAAACCCTTGTTGGCAATCACAGAGGTCAGACGTTTCTTGTAGTTGGCCACCAGGTTTGCACACATCTCAGGAGGGATTTTGTCCCACTCCTCTTTGCAGATCTTCTCCAAGTCATTAAGGTTTCGAGCCTGATGTTTGGCAACTCGAAACTTCAGCTCCCTCCACAGATTTTCTATGGGATTAAGGCCTGGAGGCTGGATAGGCCACTCCAGGACCTTAATGTGCTTCTTCTTGAGCCACTCCTTTGTTGCCTTGGCCGTGTGTTTTGGGTCATTGTCATGCTGGAATACCCATCCACGACCCATTTTCAATGCCCTGGCTGAGGGAAGGAGGTTCTCACCCAAGATTTGACAGTACATGGCGCCGTCCATCGTCCCTTTGATGCGGTGAAGTTGTCCTGTCCCCTTAGCAGAAAAACACCCCCGAAGCATAATGTTTCCACCTCCATGTTTGACGGTGGGGATGTTGTTCTTGGGGTCATAGGCAGCATTCCTCCTCCTCCAAACACGGCGAGTTGAGTTGATGCCAAAGAGCTCCATTTTGGTCTCATCTGACCACAACACTTTCACCCAGTTCTCCTCTGAATCATTCAGATGTTCATTGGCAAACTTTAGACGGGCCTGTATACAGTGGGGAGAACAAGTATTTGATACACTGCCGATTTTGCAGGTTTTCCTACTTACAAAGCATGTAGAGGTCTGTAATTTTTATCATAGGTACACTTCAACTGTGAGAGACGGAATCTAAAACAAAAATCCAGAAAATCACATTGTATGATTTTTAAGTAATTAATTTGCATTTTATTGCATGACATAAGTATTTGATACATCAGAAAAGCAGAACTTATTATTTGGTACAGAAACCTTTGTTTGCAATTACAGAGATCTTACGTTTCCTGTAGGTCTTGACCAGGTTTGCACACACTGCAGCAGGGATTTTGGCCCACTCCTCCATACAGACCTTCTCCAGATCCTTCAGGTTTCGGGGCTGTCGCTGGGCAATACGGACTTTCAGCTCCCTCCAAAGATTTTCTATTGGGTTCAGGTCTGGAGACTGGCTAGGCCACTCCAGGACTTTGAGATGCTTCTTACGGAGCCACTCCTTAGTTGCCCTGGCTGTGTGTTTCAGGTCGTTGTCATGCTGGAAGACCCAGCCACGACCCATCTTCAATGCTCTTACTGAGGGAAGGAGGTTGATGGCCAAGATCTTGCGATACATGGCCCCATCCATCCTCCCCTCAATACAGTGCAGTCGTCCTGTCCCCTTTGCAGAAAAGCATCCCCAAAGAATGATGTTTCCACCTCCATGCTTCACGGTTGGGATGGTGTTCTTGGGGTTGTACTCATCCTTCTTCTTCCCCCAAACACCGCGAGTGGAGTTTAGACCAGCTCTATTTTTGTCTCATCAGACCACATGACCTTCTCCCATTCCTCCTCTGGACCATCCAGATGGTCATTGGCAAACTTCAGACGGGCCTGGACATGCGCTGGCTTGAGCAGGGGGACCTTGCGTGCGCTGCAGGATTTTAATCCATGACGGCGTAGTGTGTTACTAATGGTTTTCTTTGAGACTGTGGTCCCAGCTCTCTTCAGGTCATTGACCAGGTCCTGCCGTGTAGTTCTGGGCTGATCCCTCACCTTCCTCATGATCATTGATGCCCCACGAGGTGAGATCTTGCATGGAGCCCCAGACCGAGGGTGATTGACCGTCATCTTGAACTTCTTCCATTTTCTAATAATTGCACCAACAGTTGTTGCCTTCTCACCAAGCTGCTTGCCTATTGTCCTGTAGCCCATCCCAGCCTTGTGCAGGTCTACAATTGTATCCCTGATGTCCTTACACAGCTCTCTGGTCTTGGCCATTGTGGAGAGGTTGGAGTCTGTTTGATTGAGTGTGGGGACAGGTGTCTTTTAGGTCTGTGAGAGCCGGAATTCTTACTGTTGGTAGGTGATCAAATACTTATGTCATGCAATAAAATGCAAATGAATTACGTAAAAATCATACAATGTGATTTTCTGGATTTTTGTCTCTCACAGTTGAAGTGTACCTATGATAAAAATTACAGACCTCTACATGCTTTGTAAGTAGGAAAACCTGCAAAATCGGCAGTGTATCAAATACTTGTTCTCCCCACTGTATGTGCTTTCTTGAGCAGGGGGACCTTGCGGGCGCTGCAGGATTTCAGTCCTTCACGGCGTAGTGTGTTACCAATTGTTTTCTTGGTGACTATGGTCCCAGCTGCCTTGAGATCATTGACAAGATCCTCGTGTGTAGTTCTGGGCTGATTCCTCACCGTTCTCATGATCATTGCAACTCCACGAGGTGAGATCTTGCATGGAGCCCCAGGCCGAGGGAGATTGACAGTTATTTTGTGTTTCTTCCATTTGCGAATAATCGCACCAACTGTTGTCACCTTCTCACCAAGCTGCTTGGCGATGGTCTTGTAGCCCATTCCAGCCTTGTGTAGGTCTACAATCGTGTCCCTGACATCCTTGGAGAGCTCTTTGGTCTTGGCCATGGTGGAGAGTTTGGAATCTGATTGATTGATTGCTTCTGTGGACAGGTGTCTTTTATACAGGTAACAAGCTGAGATTAGGAGCACTCCCTTTAAGAGTGTGCTCCAAATCTCAGCTCGTTACCTGTATAAAAGACACCTGGGAGCCAGAAATCTTTCTGATTGAGAGGGGGTCAAATACTTATTTCCCTCATTAAAATGCAAATCAATTTATAACATTTTTGACATGTGTTTTTCTGGATTTTTTTGTTGTTATTCTGTCTCTCACTGTTCAAAAAAAGCCTACAATTAAAATGATAGACTGATCATGTCTTTGTCAGTTGGGCAAACGTACAAAATCAGCAGGGGATCAAATACTTTTTTCCCTCACTGTATATTTAATCTATTTTGAATTCAGTTTGTAACAAAACAATGTGGAATAAGTCAAGGGGTATGAATACTTTTTGAAGCCATTCAGAATAGGGAATATGGTGCCATTTCAAAAGCAGCCACTGTGTTCCAATATCCACACTAACATACCACTACAATACATTACATTGCTTTTACGTAGTGTGTAAGATATTGTAATAGAGCCACATTGATAGGTGATTTAATCCATTAAACATTATGGAAAATATCAGATTTCTTAACCCTTTTACCAAATAGAATTGTACGCAAAATGCAAATATGTTCTAATATCATCTGTCCTTCATTTCAGACATCTCGAGAGATCAAGATTTCAGGAGCCATCGGGCCGTGTGTGTCATTAAATGCCAAAGGACCGTGTGTATCTGAAAATGTGAGTCCACGTCAAATACATAGATCAGTGCCCTAATACTCTACAGGGCAATTCCACGATAACGGAATTGAGCTGAGACTGAGATTTTTTTGTTTTACTCAAAATGTATGCAGTCTCCTGAGTGGCGCAGTGGTCTAAGGCTGTGCCACTAGAGATCCTGGTTCGTATCCAGGCTCTGTCGCAGCCGGCCGCGACCGGGAGACTCATGGGCGGCGCACAATTGGCCCAGCGTCGTCCAGGGTAGGGGAGGGAATGGCCGGCAGGGATGTAGCTCAGTTGATAGAGCATGGCGTTTGCAACGCCAGGGTTGTAGGTTCGATTCCCACGGGGGGCCAGTATAAAAATATATATATATGTATTCACTAACTGTAAGTCGCTCTGGATAAGAGCGTCTGCTAAATGACTAAAATGTAAATGTAAAATGTATGCCAAACAAAAAACATTGGTTTTCAAAGTTTAGCAAACCATACAACTCTATGCAGAAGGACTACTTTTAACAATTTACACTGAAAATGTTACAAAAACATTTACTGGAAGAACGGTACAGATGCAAAGTTTAACAGAATTTCTGTAAAATCTCCCTTAGTTTGTGACCACGTTTCCCAAAAACTCTGTTAAATATCTGCTCCAAATTAAGATGTCTGCAGAAAGAATGGGGTGTCAGCTATAACATGACACCTTGACTTTGAAAATATATATATTTTGATTATTGAACTACACTGAACAAAAAATATAAACGCAACATGTAAAGTGTTGGTCCCATGTTTAATGAGGTGAAATTAAAGATCCCGAAACTTTCCATACGCACAAAAAGCTTATTTCTCTCATTTTGTGCACACATTTGTTTACATCCCTGTTAGTGAGCATTTCTCCTTTGCCAAGATAATCCATCCACCTGACAGGTGTGGCATATCAACAAGCTGATTAAGCAGCATGATCATTACACAGGTGCACCTTGTGCTGGGGACAATAAATGGGCACTCTAAAATGTGCAGTTTGGTCACACAGCACAATGCCACCGATGTCTCAAGTTTTGAGGGAGCATGCAATAGGCATGCTGGCAGCAGGAATGTCCACCAGAGTTGTTGCCAGAGAATTGAATGTTCATTTCTCTACCATAAGCCGCCTCAACGTTGTTTTAGAGAATTTGGCAGTACGTCCAACTGGCCTCACAACCGCAGACCACGTGTATGGCGTCGTGTGGGCGAGCAGTTTGCTGATGTTATGGGCAGGCATAAGCTACGGACAATGAACACAATTGTGTTTTATCGATGGCAATTTGAATGCACAAAGATACCGTGACGAGATACCGTGAAGAGATCCTGAGGCCCATTGTCGTGCCATTCAATGCCATCGCCGCCATCACCTCATGTTTCAGCATGATAATGCACTGCCCCATGTCGCAAGGATCTGTACACAATTCTTGTAAGCTGAAAATTTCCCAGTTCTTCCATGGCATGCATACTCACCAGACCCATCTGAGCATGTTTGAGATGCTCTGGATTGACATGTAGAACGGCGTGTTCCAGTTCCCGCCAATATCCAGCAACTAATGCACAACCATTGAAGAGGAGTGGGACAGCATTCCACAGGCCTGGGGCCTGCCGAGTGGCGCAGCGGTCTAAGGCACTGCATCGCAGTGCTTAAGGCGTCACTACAGACCCGGGCTGTGTCACAACCGGCCGTCCCATAGGGCGGCGCACAATTGGCCCAGCGTTGTCCGGGTTAGGGGACAATTTGGCCGGGGGGGGGGGGCTTTACTTGGCTCATCACGCTCTAGCGACTCCTTGTGGCGGGCGTTTGCAGGCTGACTCCAGTCGTCAGTTGAACGGTTTTCTCCGATACATTGGTGCAGCTGGCTTCCAGGTTAAGCGGGCAGGTGTTAAGGAGTGCAGTTTGGCGGGTCATGTTTCGTAGGATGCATTACTCGACCTTTGTCTCTTCCGAGCCCGTTGGGGAGTTGAAGCGATGAAACAAGATAGTAATTAAAATTGGGAGAAATAATAGGTTAAAAAAATAACTTCCACAATCAACAGCCTGATCAACTCTATATGAAGGAGATGTGTCGCGCTGCATGAGGCAAATGGTGGTCACTGGTTTTCTGATCCACGCCCCTACTTTTAAAAAAGGTTTCTGTGACCAACAGATGCATATCTGAAATCCATAGATTAGGGCCTAATTTATTTATTTATTTAAATTGACTAATTTCCTTATATGAACTGTAACTCAGTCAAATCTTTTAAATTGTTGCCTTTATATTTTTGTTCAGTATACGTGAAGTGGATTTACATATGGTAACGGAATTTCATCATGGGTCCCTGATTTGTACTACACAGAAATGCATAATTATGGCTATGAATGTCATTCTCCTCATGGTGTTGTATCCTATATACAAAATGTGGTGTTCCGTGACCCAGGAAACAAAACTGCTAAATTTCAACAACATTACTTATAGATAATGTTATGAATCTTCAGTCTTCAATCATTGGAGAACAAATTGGATGACCTAAGATTACGGTTATCCTACCAACGGGACATTAGAAACTGTAATATCTTATGTTTCACCGAGTCGTGGCTGAACGACGACATGGATAACATACAGCTAGCGGGCTATACGCTACATCGGCAGGATAGAACGGCTGACTCCGGTAAGACAAGGGGTGGCGGTCTGTGTATATTTGTAAACAACAGCTGGTGCACAAAATCAAATACTAAGGAAGTCTCAAGGTTTTGCTCGCCTGAGGTAGAGTATCTTATGATAAGCTGTAGACCACACTATTTACCACGAGAGTTTTCATCTATATTTTTCATAGCTGTCTATTTACCACCACAAACCAATGCTGGCATTAAGATTGCATTGAATGAGCTGTATAAGGCCATAAATCAACAGGAAAACGCTCATCCAGATGCAGCGCTCCTAGTGGCCGGGGACCTTAATGCAGGGAAACTTAAATCCGTTCTACCTAATTTCTACCAGCATGTTAAATGTGCAACCAGAGGAAAAAAAACTCTAGACCACCTTTACTCCACACACAGAGACGCATACAAAGCTCTCCCTCGCCCTCCATTTGGCAAATCTGACCATAACTCTATCCTCCTGATTCCTGCTTATAAGCAAAAACTAAAGCAGGAAGCACCAGTGACTCAGTTAATAAAAAAGTGGTCAGATGACACAGATGCTAAGCTACAGGACTGTTTTACTAGCACAGACTGGAACATGTTCCGGGATTCTTCAGATAGCATTGAGGAGTACACCACATCAGTCACTGGCTTCATCAATAAGTGCATCGATGATGTCGTCCCCACAGTGACCGTACGTACATACCCCAACCAGAAGCCATGGATTACAGGAAACATCCGCACTGAGCTAAAGGGTAGAGCTGCCGCTTTCAAGGAGCGGGACTTAACCCGGACGCTTATAAGAAATCCCGCTATGCCCTCCGACGAACCATCAAACAGGCAAAGAGTCAATACAGGACTAAGATTGAATCGTACTATACTGGCTCTGACGCTCGTCGGATGTGGCAGGGCTTGAAAACTATTACAGACTACAAAGGGAAGCACAGCCGCGAGCTGCCCAGTGACACAAGACTTCCAGACGAGCTAAACCACTTCTATGCTCGCTTCGAGGCAAGCAACACTGAAGCATGCATGAGAGCACCAGCTGTTCCGGATGACTATGTGATCACGCTCTCCGTAGCCGATGTGAGTAAGACTTTTAAACAGGTCAACATTCACAAGGCCGCAGGGCCAGACGGATTACCAGGACGTGTACTCCGAGCATGTGCTGACCAACTGGCAAGTGTCTTCACTGACATTTTCAACATGTCCCTGACTGAGTCTGTAATACCAACATGTTTCGAGCAGACCACCATAGTCCCTGTGCCCAAGGACTCTAAGATAACCTGCCTAAATGACTACCGACCCGTAGCACTGACGTCTGTAGCCATGAAGTGCTTCGAAAGGCTGGTCATGGCTCACATCAACAGCATTATCCCAGAAACCCTAGACCCACTCCAATTTGCATACCGCCCCAACAGATCCACAGATGATGCAATCTCTATTGCACTCCACACTGCCTTTCCCACCTGGACAAGAGGAACACCTACGTGGGAATGCTATTCATTGACTACAGCTCAGCATTCAACACCATAGTGCCCTCTAAGCTCATCACTAAGCTAAGGATCCTGGGACTAAACACCTCCCTCTGCAACTGGATCCTGGACTTCCTGACAGGCTGCCCCCAAGTGGTAAGGGTAGGTAACAACACATCTGCCACACTGATCCTCAACACGGGGGCCCCTCAGGGGTGCGTGCTCAGTCCCCTCCTGTACTCCCTGTTCACCCATGACTGCATGGCCAGGCACGACTCCAACACCATCATTAAGTTTGCCGACGACACAACAGTGGTAGGCCTGATCACCGACAACGATGAGACAGCCTATAGGGAGGAGGTCAGAGACCTGGCCGTGTGGTGCCAGGACAACAACCTCTCCCTCAACGTGACCAAGACAAAGGAGATGATTGTGGACTACAGGAAAAAAAAGAGGACTGAGCACGCCCCCATTCTCATCGAAGGGGCTGTAGTGGAACAGGTTGAGAGCTTCAAGTTCCTTGGTGTCCACATCACCAACGAACTATCATGGTCCAAACACACCAAGACAGTTGTGAAGAGGGCACGACAAAGCCTATTCCCCCTCAGGAGACTGAAAAGATTTGGCATGGGTCCTCAGATCCTCAAATTCTACAGCTGCACCATCGAGAGCATCCTGACTGGTTGCATCACCGCCTGGTATGGCAACTGCTTGGCCTCCGACCGCAAGGCACTACAGAGGGTAGTGCGTACGGCCCAGTACATCACTGGGGCCAAGCTTCCTGCCATCCAGGACCTCTATACCAGGCGGTGTCAGAGGAAAGCCCTCAAAATTGTCAAAGACTCCAGCCACCCTAGTCATAGACTGTTCTCTCTGCTACCGCACGGCAAGCGGTACCGGAGTGCCAAGTCTAGGTCCAAAAGACTTCTCAACAGCTTCTACCCCCAAGCCATAAGACTCCTGAACAGTTAATCATGGCTACCCGGACTATTTGCACTGCCCCCCCCACCCCATCCTTTTACGCTGCTGCTACTCTGTTAATTATTTATGCATAGTCACTTTAACTCTGCCCACATGTACATATTACTTCAACTACCTCAACTAGCCGGTGCCCCCGCACATTGACTCTGCACCGGTACCCCCCTGTATATATAGCCTCCCTACTGTTATTTTATTTTACTTCTGCTCTTTTTTTCTCAACACTTTTTTTGTTGTTGTTTTATTTTTACTTTTTTGATAAAAATAAATGCACTGTTTGTTAAGGGCTGTAAGTAAGCATTTCACTGTAATGTCTGCACCTGTTGTATTCGGCGCATGTGGCCGATTTGATTTGAATATGAACACTGTGGTTCAAAACTTGTAAAAGTTGCACTTTTATTTTTCTCCTAAAAGTTATGATTTCTAGCATCGAAATCGTAGCACATTTTGGGTAATTTCCCTAGCAACGTTCTGACGTTACTATGTTTCACCTTGGTTACTTTTGTAAAACACTGGTGCACAAAACGCATAACTATTTGTGTGTTCAGTGTTCATCCTTGCATAAGCAACATATGTAGCCAGTCCTTTACTGATCCAAAGGAACCCCTAAATGTTTTTATTGCACTGCTTTGCTTTATCTTGGCCAGGTCGCAGTTGTAAATGAGAACCTGTTCTCAACTGGCTTACCTGGTTAAATAAAGGTGAAATAAATAAAATAAGGAAATATGTTTTAACCATATACAGTGGTTTTCTCAGTTTAATATAATACGTTTTGGCAGCTGTATTTAGCCTACAAGGGCCATCATTGCTTTTGCCTGCTAGCCAAACTAAAGACAGCACAACGTTTGCTAGCTAACACAGCTCTCAAAACATTCAAGGTCCCGACAGCTACATAAAGCGCTGTTCTGGCATCTGAGAAAAATACATTTAGCATCTTTCAACAGCTTCTTATCTCGTATTATTTCGGGATTCCTCCAGTCCGGTACATACTTGTCTTTACTATAGTGTACTCTACTGTGCTGTACTGTACTGTCCAATCTTGTAAAACACATTTTCCGGACCGGACCAAATCTGAACCAATCATGGATGTCTATGTTTGGGCCTAAAGAAGGCCGGTCCAGACTTTTGTGGACGTTGAAATCATGGCTGGTCTGGACTGGATTAAAAAAAAACATTCAGGGCAGACTGACCAGACTTTTCACACTATTGCTTTGACCACCAGACGACAGAAAGAAAAAGTTATCAGCTGAACATAACATTATGCTAGTGTAAGGGAGGACAGTAGCAGGTGACCCAAGTGTGGTTTGTGTTCTATGATTTCCCATTGTAGCCAATTCAATTGAAAATTCCGTTATCTATTAAAATATTTTTGTGTTGTAAATTCTGTTAGCGATTTTGGTAACAGGATTTCAAGTTTTAATCACTTAATAATTAATTAACAAAATGTATATCAGTATAAAAACACTAATTGATAGGTCAACTTTTACTTGTTACTTCTGTGAACTTTCATTATCCTCCCACATGAGGGAGAGAAATGAGAAAATATCTTAAAGGCCCAATGCAGCCGTTTTTATATCCATATCAATTCATTTCTTGGTAACAATTAAGTACCTTAATGTAATAGATTTCCATTAAAATAGGCAAAATTAGCTTTTTAGCAAAACTATTTCTCAAGCAAGGATTTTGTTAGTTCTGAGTGGGGAGGGGAAAACTGAAAAGAATTGTTATTGGCAGAGCGGTTTGGAACTCTTTGTTATTGGCCTATTAACAAATTTACCACATGGTGATGTCACCATGGAAAGCCAAAACTCCCGCCCATGCAAACCTGCTGATTTAGAAGCTACTGTGTAGATTGTATTTTCAACCAGCAACTATCAAGAAATGACACTGATCAAATCTTTTCACACTTTTACAGTGTTAGTTTCATCAGCTGTAGTAAAATATGATACAACACACAGGAAAAATAGAGTTAGGACTGCACTGAGCTTTTAAATATGTTTTTTTGGTAACGGAATTTCAAGGCACAAGGCAATGTTTCTTAAACTTACAGAAGGCAAAAAAATTATCCTAAATATAAATGTTGATATTAGTTGGCGGGGTTCTTTACTTCAACATTATTGTGTTTTGATGTATTTCTAATAACGTTTAAATAATTTTTCTGGTATATGTTTTCTATGATCCCTTTTCCATCTGTTGATAAGAAATCGAAGCCTTTGCTTATTCAAATTTACACCGGCAGCACAACAAAATAAACTCTTAGCTTACATTTGACATGCTACCATGAGCTTCACATGTTGGTGCTCATGGGTCCTTTTCAATGGAAATGACCTACATCAATGAGCAGATATGCAGAACAGTACAGTAATCTTGTTTTGGATAATACTTTTATCTGGTTGACCCTTTTGTAAATTTAGTTGTCCAGAATGTTGTGTCCTGAATTTTTACTGAAGGAGATGGAACAACGTTCTGTTTCTGATCCCTTCTAGAACAATGTCATTCTGATTATGATCCCTTCTGTCTGTTTCCTAACAGGAAATTGGAACAGGGGGCACCTCTCAATGGAAGATATGTGGTCTTGACCACAACACCACTCTGGCAGTGTACTTTGAGGTGGTCAATCAGGTATGCATTCATATTACACACTCTGAATTGTGATCACTAAGCTACTTGTGTCAAGTGCCATGTTTTGCGTTCAGTTGTGATCAGGAGCGAAAGGAAAGGATGCTGAGTAGTCGTTTTATATCACAGTAATCTGAGATTAGGCAACCCACAGAGCCATGTTTGCCAAGAGCATCTGCTAAATGACTCAAATGTAAATGTACAAATGTAAACGTTCCACGTGCCAAAGATTTAGATAATTTAATTGCACCACCAGAGGGCATACTAGCTATTCTATTACTATGATATTCTACTTCTGGACTGACCAGAGGTAATGGCTAGAGTTGCATCACTATGCCACCAGATGGTGTGCTCGTATATGAAACCACTATGGCCTCTTTATAAAGCATACCAACATTAGCTAGCACAAGATGGTTCTGAAATGATCACGTTCACTCTAACCCAGTATTTCCTGTTATGCTAATCTGGTAGATTTAATCTGGTAGCTACATGTACATTATTGTAGACTGTCAGTGTTGCCCAGGGTATATTCATTAAGGAAGAACATATTTGACATTATATGAATCAGTATTATTTGTTTTGATGAATATTTATTTACTGACTGAAAACGGATTGACTATTCCTCTCTGACAGACAGTGTTGTTTGTCTGTAAACAGTTTAGCACAGTCTCCAGTGTAATTCAAATATTGAAGTTTAACATTGTAGTTCAAACTTTTTTCATCAGAAACTGAAAATATAGGATAGCTATGGCGGTCTTGGTGTATGGCCACTAAAGACCACAATGACCTCACATTCTTCAAACGGGAGATGGTTGCCTCTTCTCGGCACAATGAGCCTTGGTATAGTCCTCCTTTGTTGATTAGTCCCAACCTTTCATTTAATTCATTAATTTGTATTTATTTAGCCAGGTAGTCCAGTCAGCAACAATTGCCACTGTTTTCCAGGGAGTCCTGGGATCCATAAAATCAATTATGTGGTTAGTCTGTAGTTATTTTAAAAGATGACTCCACAGTGACGGATTCCTGGTCCAGTGTAATGTCCTTACTGTGCCCAGGGTCTTTACTATCCTACATTGTCACCTCTGACATGGATCTAGTCTCTGGTGACCCTGGCTTGGAGTTATCTGACCAGAGTGATGGCTTGGTGATGTGGTGGTGGCTCACTATCTCCAGTTGGATGGCGGTGCTCTGTGGGTGGGAGTTCTTCAGAGGGCGCTGAAGCAGCTGTCGTATTTTATTCAGGCTTTTCCGCAGAGCCGCTCTGTACCGCCTGAGAGGGATAGAGAGGAAGGAAGAGAAATGGAGAGAGCAAGATGTAGAGAGGGAGAGAGAAATAAATAGAGGGAGAGAGAGATTGAATCCGAGAGAGTGACAGATGGAGAGAGAAAGTAAGCCACCATTAACCATATAACCACTGATGCAGTGCAGCTAGCCACAGCTCTGCTCCCACACTGAGAAGCTCATTTTAATCATCTCAAGCTCTCAGCTATTTCCCCTCTCAACAGCCCTCATTTAGAAATGTACTGGAGCTAGCTTCTCAATTCCCTCTGACTTTGGTTTCAAGTGGCTATTGAGGGGCCTTCATATTATTACGTTATATCATCTGCACAAGACTGAGCCTTATTCTAATTGGCATTGAAATGACTCTTTATATTTCTATTTGACTTTGTTTGGGGCTATTGCTCTATTACTTACGTCTGCGTCATGGAGTTGATCCATGGGTTGAGTGTGGAGGTGAAGAGGACGAGCCAGGTGGCTATGGCTGAGGCTGCTGCTGGCGGGTCATGGCCACTGAGCGTCTCATAGAAACAGGTGGTGATGTAAGGCAGCCAGCACACCAGCAGGCACACTGACAATGGAGAGAATTAAGATGGGAGATTATTAGAGTAATTACGTATATATTATAAGAGCGAGTCAAGGGTAATCTTATTGAAATGCGATATATTTAACAGGAGGTTATTCGATTCATTACGGTAACATTACATGTTGATATGAAGAAGTCTATTTAGTATATTTATATATTCGCGAGATTCCTAAATCACTAACCTTATTGTAGTGTGTCATGTTGTTATAGCACATTGACCATTTCAAAAAAACTGAATTTGACCCGTTACAAATGTAGCCTACAGAAAGATGTCAATAATAACAGCCACTGATGGACCTTGAATGTTATTTGCTTTTGTTCCTTACATAAAAGGCTTTTAATCTGTGTATCTGCTCAGTGCTCAGAATGACCATATATCTCAAATGCCTTGCTCTGTCTGGATACAGCAACAAATCGAGAGCTTCAATGTACTATTCACAAGGTTAGAACTGGTATGTAACCACCAATGAGACTCACCCACAGTTGCCACCATCACTATGGAGCTCCTGAAGTAGTTATTAGCAGGAACATAAAAACAGTGCTGGTCGTTGCAAACAAACGTCCCTCGCTGCACCTGCTTCCTCGCAATATACACAATGTATGCATACATGGAGCACATGATGAGTATCGGTGCTATGATCCCAACCACGATGAAGAGCATACTGAAGCCCCTGTAGTCTGGCTGGAAGCTGGGGCCACACAGGAACCTGGTGCTGCTGTAGGTGTAGCTGCCGAAGCCCAGCAGTGGCAAGGCTGCGTTGATCAGGCCATAGAGCCACACCAGGACCAGTACCACCCTGGTCCTCTTGGCCGTGCAGATGGTGGTGTAGCTCAGGGCGAAGCAGATCTCTGTGAACTTGTCAATGGTGGCCCAGGTCAGGGAGTGGATGGAGGCCAGCTGAAGAAGCAGGTAGAGGAAGGCGCTGCCCTGGCAGAGGTGCCCGTCGCTGGGGTAGCCCTGCGGCCTGAGCAGGCTGTTGTAAGCTCCGAAGGGGATGATGGAGAGACCCAGGGCCAGGTCACTCAGGCAGAAGCTCAGGGTCAGGGCCCAGGTTTCAGTGTGGAGCTCCTTGTTGAGAAGAACCACCAGTAGTAGAACCACATTACCACACACACAGCACAGACTGGAGACCACCATCAGAGCTGCATAGACCAGGGCCACTGGCTGCATCCTCCCGGCCTCCTGATGGAAGAGAAGTCCTCCCTGGGCTGCTGGCTACTCGCTCTCCTCCCGCCTGGTTCAGGCCATGAGATCCCACTGACCGAATGGCTTGCTGGCTGACTGAGGCTGACGTGTGAAGTGCCGTTATCCTGTGTGTGCCGTGGGCTGGTCCTCGGGGGCTCCAGGGAACTGGTTGCTGTTGTGGATGTGTCAGTCTCCCGCTGTGCTCTGGGAGGGGAGGCTCCTCTCCAAGTCCTCTAGCTGTCCTCTAAGGGCTTAGCTAGCTCCTCTCTGCCTTGCTGTACACTATCTCTGCTTCAGATTGAGGCAGGGAGGGCGAAACAGCCCGCCACACCCCTCTCTCAAGCAGTAGAACTATGAGAACCGAAATATTCAGCCCTAATGGTGTAAATACGGAGGCAAACAGTCAAGGAGCTGGTGTGTGGATACGCAGACTTGCGAGGGAGAGAGCGGTTGTAGCAGAGTTGTGCTGCCGGTGTAAACAGACGCTTGAGATCTAATATCCTCTCCTCCACTAATGGCTGCCGCACAGTTAATGAGCCATTTGGCTCTGGAGTGTTGTTAGGATAATTGGCAAGAAGTGTGCCTCTAATTCAATCTAAGCTTCCAATAATCCATTATTGCCTTTCTGCTTTCTTAAGCCCCCTCATATAACCTAATTATTACCGTTCTTCTGAAAGTTGTTTTTCCTCTCTGGCTGTCCATAAGGCAGTAGCAGTTATGTGTGTGTTTGTACATGGCAAATTATTTGAATAATTTGAATAAAACACCCACGTCTATTAGTGCCTTTGGAAAGGTTGACCTTCCAACAGGACCATGACACTTAGCACACAGCCAAGACAATGCAGGAATGGCTTCGGGACAAGTCTCTGAATGTTCTTGAGTGGTCCAGCCAGAGCCCTGACTTGAACCCAATCCAACATCTCTGGAGAGACCTGAAAAAAAGCTGTGCAGCAACGCTCCCCATCCAACCTGACAGAGGTTGAGAGGATGTGCAGAGAAGAATGGGAGAAACTCCCCAAATACAGGTGCACCAAGCTTGTAGCATCATTCCAAAGAAGACTCGAGGCTGTAATTGTTGCCAAAGGTGCTTCAACAAAGTACTGAGTAAAGGGTCTGAATACTTACGTAAATGTAATATTTGTTTTTTATTAATAATACATTTGCAAAAATTTCTAAACCTGTTTTTGCTTTGTCATTATGGGGTATTGTGTGTAGATTTGCAGAGAAAAAAATACAATTTAATCAATTTTAGAATAAGATTGTAACCTAACAAAGTGGAAAAATTCAAGGCGTCTGAATACTTTCCGAATGCATTTACGTTTATGATCATCACAGCATTTCATTGAATGTGCATGCATGTGTACACTTCTACACTGTGTGCACAATTATTAGGCATTATCATCATTATTATGCATATTTCCCAACTCCAAGCTGTATAAACTGGAATGCTTATTGGATTTAAGCATATCAGGTGATGTGTATTTGTGTAATGAGGGAGGGTGTGGCCCCCTATATCAAGGTGTGTATAATTATTAGGCAGCAGCTTTTCCTCAGGTAAAATGGGCCAAAAAAGTGATTTAACTGACTCTGAAAAGTCAACATTTTTAAAAACTATTTCAGAGGGATGCAGCACTCTTGAAATTGCTAAGATATTGGGGCATGATCACAGAACCATCAAACGTTTTGTTGCAAATAGTCAACAGGGTCGCAAGAACCGTGTTGAGAGAAAAAAAGACGCAAATTAACTGCCAAAGATTTGAGAAGAATCAAACGTGAAGCTACCAGGAACCCATTATCCTCCAGTGCTGTCATATTCCAGAACTGCAACCTACAAGTACAAGGTGTTCAGTGCTCAGAGACATGGCCAAGGTAATGAAGGCTGAAACCCGACCACCACTGAACAAGACACAAGTTGAAACGTCAAGACTGGGCCAAGAAATATCTGAAGACAGATTTTTCTAAGGTTTTATGGACTGATGAGATGAGTGACTCTTGACGGACTAGATGGATGGGCCCGTGGCTGGATCAATAACGGGCACGGAGCTCCACGTCGACTCAGACGCCAGTAAGGTGGAGGTGGGTTACTGGTATGGGCTGGTATTATTAGTGATGAGCTAGTTGGACCTTTTCGGGTTGAAGATGGACTCAAACTCAACTCCCAAACCTACTGCCAGTTTTTAGAAGACACTTTCTTCAAGCAGTGGTACAGGAAAAAGTCTGTATCTTTCAAGAAGACCATGATTTTTATGCCAGACAATGCTCCATCGCATGCATTGAAGTACTCCACTGCGTGGCTAGCCAGTAAAGGCCTTTTTAAAGATGAATGGATAATGACATGGCCCCCTTCCTCACCTGACCTAAACCCTATTGAGAACTTGTGGTCCCTTCTTAAACGGTCGATTTACAGCGAAGGAAAACAGTACACCTCTCTGACCAGTGTCTGGGAGGCTGTGGTTGCTCTGCACAAAAAGTTGATCGTCAACAAATCAGGAAACTGACAGACTCCATGGATGGAAGGCTTATGACTGTTGTTGAAAAGAAGGGTGGCTATATTGGTCACAGATTTTTTTTTTTGAAATGTCAGAAATGTTTATTTGTAAATTTTGAGTTGTTTATTATTCTCACTTTAACAGATGAAAATGAACAATGAGATGGAACTTTTCGTTTTTCATTTAGTTGCATAATAATTCTGCACACTAATAGTTGCCCAATAATTGTGCACACAGATATTCTCCAAAGAAAGCCAAAACCTCACTTTTACTTTCTTAAATATTCAGGTTTGAGGTTTATTAACATTTTTGGATTGACCGAGAGCACTGTAGTTGTTCAATAATAAAATTAATCCTCAAACATACAACTTGCCTAATAATTGTGTACACAGTGTAATTGGATGACTTTCTAATGATCCTTTCCTAACCGTTTTTGTCTCCTCTGTTTGTAGCATAATGCACCTATTCCCCAGGGGGGCCGAGGGGCGGTCCAGTACGTCACTCAGTACCAACACTCCAGTGGACAGAAACGCATCCGAGTCACCACCACCGCCAGAAAGTAAACAAGCATACACACATTACAGATTTGTCTCACTTCACTTCAGAACAAAACGTACAATTTACAAAAACACACAAACATGTGAATATGGATTTGATTCATCATTCAGAGCACATCTTCTTTTCAAAGTAACTACTGGACTTTTTCTACCACTTTTCATTCCACTATGGAGCTGCATCTGCAAGCTCACCTTGTTTCCATAGCAACACTGTAGGGAGCGAGGGTAAAGTGGTTGTTGTGTTGTCTTCTCCCCTGATCAGAGGAGGAGATGGTCTTGGTTGTTAGTGTCAAACGTGTATTTATCAGACACTGACTGAGCCTTTAGCGGTCATATGACTACGGTAAAGACACTCAGTATGGGTTATGATCAATGTTGCAGTTCATGTTTGTTAGCATGAGATCTGTGTTTATACAATGCTTAACATGTTGCAGGGCAGTGGCGAGAGAAAATGTGTATAGATAAGCCGTCATTCCCAGGCTGTTAAAAGATCAGTTCCATTTACCTAGACTTAAATTACAGTATGGGTTGGATTTAATTTACAAGGGTTATTATGACAAAGGGCTTTTAAATGCCAAGGCAACCAGAACTGTAACATCTAACGTAATGCCCCTTATTTAACTAATTTCTCCATAAAATCTATGGTAGAGATTAATTGTGTGTGGTATCACTTTTTCATTGTGGAGGAGAACCTTACAACTAAACAAAAACAAAAAAACATAAGTGTGTCAAATGATCGACGATGCTTATGTAGGTTGTTTCTCTTTCTCTCACTCCCCCCCCCCCCCCCCCCCCCCCTCTCAGCTGGGCAGATGCAGGGACCCAGATCCAGAGCATTGCAGCATCATTTGATCAGGAGGCCTCAGCCATCCTAATGGCTAGACTGGCTGTGTACCGCGCTGAGACCGAGGAGGGCCCTGACGTGCTTCGCTGGCTGGACAGACAGCTCATCCGGCTGGTAAGACCGAGACAGAGCAACACCATCTATTAGCACCTCGCCACAGACTTCATAAATGGGCCGGTTGTTAAAACATTGAGATTATAAAATGAAACAATGTCATTATTTGCTGCTGCTAACCAGTGAAAGTAGCAATTTCCAGGCTAGCAGGCACGGGGAAATTGTGGGATGAAGTGTGACATTTTTAAGTGTGGACTCAGTGGCAGGCAGGGTTTTATAATGGGTTTGAATTGCCTTTTTCTCTCTCTGTTCTAGTGTCAGAAGTTTGGAGATTATCATAAGGATGATCCCAACTCCTTCCGCTTCTCAGAAACCTTTTCTCTCTATCCCCAGGTAAGTGATCATGGGCTGAGAGGCTGATTGGCTCTTTAGTGGAACGACACATTTGTAGCTAGTACATACATGTATGATAAATATATTTAAGCTGAAGAAGGCACAGTGATGCTGAAACTTTGGTGTTTTACCCAATAAATTACTTATATACACACACACACAGTACCGGTCAAAAGTTTTAGAACACCTACTCATTCAAGGGTTTTTCTTTATTTTTACTATTTTCTACATTGTAGAATAATAGTGAAGACATCAAAACTATTTAAAAAAAAAAACACATATGGAATCATGTAGTAACCAAAAAAGTGTTAAACAAATCAAAATATATTTTATATTTGAGGTTCTTCAAATAGTCACCCTTTTCCTTGATTACAGCTTTGCATACTCTTGGCAGTCTCTCAACCAGCTTCACCTGGAATGCTTTTCCAACAGTCTTGAAGGAGTTCCCACATATGCTGAGCACTTGTTGGCTGCTTTTCCTTCACTATGCAGTCAGACTCATCCCAAACCATATCAATTTGGTTAAGGTCGGGGGATTGTGGAGGCCAGGTCATCTGATGCAGCACTCCATCACTCTCCTTGGTAAAATAGCGCTTACACAGCCTGGAGGTGTGTTGGGTCATTGTCCTGTTGAAAAACAAATGATAGTCCCACTAAGCCCAAACCAGATGGGATGGCCTTGAATTGTAAATAAATCACATACAGTGTCACCAGCAAAGCACCCCCACACCATAACACCTCCTCCTCCATGCTTTACGGTGGGAAATACACATGCGGAGATCATCCGTTCACCCACACCGCATCTCACAAAGACACGGCGGTTGGAACCAAAAATCTCCAATTTGGACTCCAGACCAAAGGACACATTTCCACTGTTCAAACGTCCATTGCTCGAGTTTCTTGGCCCAAGCAAGTCTCTTCTTCTTATTGGTGTCCTTTAGTAGTGGTTTATTTGCAGCAATTAGACCATGAAGGCCTGATTCACACAGTCCCCTCTGAACAGTTGATGTTGAGATGTGTCTGTTACTTGAACTCTGTGAAGCATTTATTTGGGTTGCAATTTCTGAGGCTGGTAACCTTAATGAACTTATCCTCTGCAGCAGAGGTAACTCTGGGTCTTCCATTCCTGTGGCGGTCCTCATGAGAGCCAGTTTCATCATAGCGCTTGATGGATTTTGCGACTGCACTTGAAGAAACTTGAAAAGTTCTTGACATTTTCCGTATTGACTGACCTTCATGTCTTAAAGTAATGATGGACTGTCGTTTCTGTTTGCTTATTTGAGCTGTTCTTGCCATAATATGGACTTGGTCTTTTACCAAATAGGGCTATATTCTGTATACCCACCCTACTTTGTCACAACATGATTCCATGTGTGTTATTTCATAGTTTTGATGTCTTCACTATTATTCTACAATGTAGAAAATAGTAAAAATTAAGAAAAACCCTTGAATGAGTAGGTGTTCTAAAACTTTTGTTTTGACCGGTAGAGTGTATGTATGTATGTATGTATGTATGTATGTATACATACACACACACACACACACATAGATATAAATAGAGTGTGCGACTCTTTGTTTTTATAGCTTACAAATATCTTTAACCTAACTTTTTTTTTAAAGTAATATAAAGAGGATTTTAAAAAGCACATTATAGCTTTTCCTTTGTCCCTCAGTTTATGTTCCACCTAAGAAGATCTCCTTTCCTGCAAGTGTTCAACAACAGTCCAGATGAGAGCTCATACTACAGACACCAGTTCATGCGTCAGGACCTGACCCAGTCTCTCATCATGATACAACCCATTCTCTACGCCTACTCCTTCAACGGGCCCCCAGAGGTAAGACCTAACACACACACACACACACACACACACACACACACACACAGAGACACACCATCCTCTACGCCTACTCCTTCAACGGGCCCCCAGAGGTAAGACCTAACACACACACACACACACACACACACACACACACACACACACACACACACACACACACAGAGACACACCATCCTCTACGCCTACTCCTTCAACCGGCCCCAGACGTAAGTCACACACATTTTTATTTCCATTGAAAAATGAAATTTGCTTTCCTTCCTCTTTAAAAACATAAATCATGGATGCTTTGGCTTACTGTACGAGCTAGTCTTCTTATGTATTAAATGATAAAATCTCTGACTCTCTCACCTCCCTCCCACTCACATTCTGCAGGCTTAGCTGTGTTGCCTAGGTCAGCAGAGAGAGTGCACTAATACCTTGGTCCTTTTATTACAGATAAGCTTGCGGTTATGTGGTTAATAATGAGTGTAGTGTGTGAGTACAGTAGTGTGTTCCGGGCCAGCGCTCCTTTCAGTGCAGATATCAACAGTGTGGTTTTTAACACCTTACAGACAGACAGCGTAGTGCACACCTCTCTGAAAAGGGTAAGTTATTTAATTGGTTAATCCTTAAGAGTCTAAGCCGGGCGGGCGGGGGGGTTGATCATTTAGCTATTACCAAGGATCATTTAGCTATTTGATTTAGAATTTTAGGACCCCTTAAGGTAGAAAATATACACTACCGTTCAAAAGTTTGGGGTCACTTAGAAATGTCCTTGTTTTCGAAAGAAAAGCAATTTTTTTGTCCCTTTAAAATAACATCAAATTGATCAGAAATACAGTGTAGACATTGTTAATGTTGTAAATGGCTATTGTAGCTGGAAATGGCTGATTTTGTAATGGAATATCTACATAGGCCTACAGAGGCCCATTATCAGCAACCATCAGTCCTGTGTTCCAATGGCATGTTGTGTTTGCTAATCCAAGTTTTTCATTTTAAAAGGTTAATTGATCATTAGAAAACCCTTTTGCAATTATGTTAGCAAAGCTGAAAACTGTTGTGCTGATTAAAGAAGCAATAAAACTGGCCTTCTTGAGACTAGTTGAGTATCTAGAGCATCAATAATTGTGGGTTCGATTACAAGGCTCAAAATGGCCAGAAACAAATAACTTTCTTCTGAAACTCGTCAGTCTATTCTTGTTCTAAGAAATGAAGGCTATTCCATGCGAGAAATTGCCAAGAAACTGAAGATCTCGTACAACGCTGTGTACTACTCCCTTCACAGAACAGCGCAAACTGGCTCTAACCAGAATAGAAAGAGGAGTGGGAGGCCCCGGTGAGCAAGAGGACAAATACATTAGTGTCTAGTTTGAGAAACAGACGCCTCACAGGTCCTCAACTGGCAGCTTCATTAAATAGTACCCGCAAAACCCCAGTCTCAACTTCAACAGTGAAGAGGCGACTCCGGGATGCTGACCTTCTAGGCAGAGTTGCAAAGAAAAAGCCATATCTCAGACTGCCCATCTTAATCTTTTATTTTTATTGGCCAGTCTGAGATATGGCTTTTTCTTGCAATTCGACTCTAGGGTGTTTAGTCCCAAATGGCTCCCTAATCTCTATAGTTCACTACTTTTGACCAGGACCAATGGGGCTCTAGTCAAAGATGGTGCACTGCGTTGGAAATAGGGTGCCATTTGGGACTCCGCGTTAGTCATCTGGCTCTGTATCAGATGTAATGCATGTAACCAGGAGATGCAGTGCTTCAGGTGTTTATTTTTTAGATTAGCAGAGACCTAGGATGCGTCCCAAATGGCACCTTATTCCCTATATAGTGCACTACTTTTGACCAGGGCCTACTATATAGGGAATAGGGTGCCATTTGGGATGGAGTTCTAATGTTTTCACTGGCTCTGAGTCTTGACTCTGTCCACTCCTGCCTGTTAAACATTGAAAGAGTAATATTCTTCTCCATCTTTTTGCCCCTTGTCAAGCAGATGGCGTCAAGTATTAACAGAGCCACTGTTTCTATCTGCACTGTTTCTGTTTCCTTTAAAATGGCCACCACACTATAAAACAGAAGATATACTACTACCTGTCTGTCAAGATCATCCATCTTTGTATTTTTTGTACCTGAGATTGGGGTTGGTATGTTGTGACCTTGAGAGCTTGTTTTGGAAGGATAAATGCCAATATTTTGACGTTCTTATCAGTGTCTGGGGTTAAACCCCCATCCCTCTAATCCTTGACAAACCTGGTTTAATCTTGAAACAGCATTATTGATTGGATCTGAATTAGAAGGATACCATTTAGTTTGGAGGGCAGTGGTTTACAACGGTATCTCTTTTCTCTCCATTTAGCCTGTGTTCAGTATCCTGCTTATTATATAATTTCAAGGTGGTGTAAAATTAAAACAGTATTTTCTCCCCTTAGCCTTTGTTGCTGGACAGCAGCAGTATCCTTCCTGATCGCATCCTTCTCATGGACACCTTCTTCCAGATCCTCATCTACCATGGAGAGGTACATTCATCAGTCATCAAATCATAATCAACATGGCCACTCACAGACTACTTAAAAACTGTCGTCATCGGTGACAGGCCAGGACATGACCCTCCATGTCCTCTTAATGGTCTCACCACTCACACAGCTACCATCTTTACACGCAGTGAGAGGCGTCTCTCTCTCTATCAAGTGATTTTATCGTAACGCTAGACTGATTTAGTTTCTGGTTGCAGCCAGATACTATTGTCCTTATTTGACATTTGTGAATAGATGGGTGAGCAGTGGATGAGAGATCAATAGCCGATTCTGAATACAGACAGATCTTCAATATAATGTCAGAGTGGGGTTCAATGGCCAATAATCCAGTGAGATGCACTGTTATGAAGAGAGACTGTGTTTCCTATTGAAATCAAATCCAGTCATTGCTATTGAAGTGAAGTCAAGCAAAACTAATCTGCTCCTTTTATCTCTTTCTCAGCTCTGTAAAGGTCTTCATGTAATTCTTCATGTCTTCAGGACCACTCTGACTGACTGTCCCCATTCCCTCTCGTTCTCTTTCTCTCCCTCTCTTCTCTCTCTCGCCAACCCTCCCCCTGTCTCTCTCTAACCCTCTCTCTCTGTCTATCCATCAGACTGTCTCTCAGTGGCGTAAGGCAGGCTACCAGGAGTTGCCAGAGTACGAGAACTTCCGCCACCTGCTGCAGGCTCCAGTGGACGACGCCCAGGAGATCCTCCACAGCCGCTTCCCTATGCCCCGCTACATAGACACAGAGCATGGCGGATCACAGGTGTGTACACACACAAACATTTCTGTGAATGTCAACTGTAAAGTCTATTACAACCTCCTGTGTTGATGTTCTTGTTGTGTTCTAGGCTCGATTCCTGCTATCTAAAGTAAACCCATCACAAACCCACAACAATATGTATGCATGGGGCCAGGTAAGACTTAATTTTCTACTGTCTATTTTCTATTGTCATTTGCCCAGGAACTAGAAGAAGATACTATTCATAAAAAGTCCAAATTGCTAAGGATGGTGTTATTAGTATGGTTTTATGTAAAGGCTGAGCACGTTGCCTCTTTCTGAATGGCGTGTATTGTATGTGTGTAATAATGACTGGTGGTCCTGGAGGAGCGTAGGGTCGAGTGTGTTAGCAATAATGAAAGTCATTATATGGCTGGAGAGAAGGAGACCCTGTACTTGGTTTTCAAGGCTTTCAGCTGCTACTACTGCTTATTAGAGGAGACAGTAGTGGACCTGTGGAACCTTCTGGATTATTACATGGACACAGTCACACATACTTTTGAGACGCACACAATTCTACTCCTGTTCTTGACTCATAATTTTTCTACAACTCCTACTTGTTGTCTGTATTCTTTACACAAGCAGGTAAATTCTGAATAAATGAGTAGTCCTCCCACTTTTTTGTTGTTGTGGAGAATGAAGATGTAACTACTTCCCAAGATTGTATAAGGGCAATTCCATGGTAACGGTGACACAGACTCAGATTTTTCACTTTAAATGTCAAACAAAAACCAATGATTGTAAAGTTAAACAAACCATACAATTATATGCACAAGGACTACTTTTAACAATTCCCACTGCCAATTAAAAAACTAAACTGTTACTTGAAGAACAGTGCAGATCCAAAGTTTGGTAATAGTGACAGCACAAACCATAATTCTGTCACCAAACGTTGCATCCTGCACTGTTCTTCAAGTAAATGTGTGAAGTTTTCTGTGGAAATTGTTAAATTTAGTCTTTGTGCATAGAGTTATATGGTTTGTTTGACATTTAAACTGAAAAATCTGTGTCACTCTGTTATCGTGGAATTGCCCATAACTGAATTCCACTCTCCTCCTCTCTGTGTGTAGGAGTCAGGTGCTCCCATCCTGACAGATGACGTCAGTCTACAGGTGTTCATGGACCACCTAAAGAAGCTGGCTGTGTCCAGCGCTGCCTGAGACTGAGACCGACGCCATGGTAACCACTGAGCATCATCAACACACATACTAAATGAACCCAGGTTTGCTCAACAGTAGTCAACTAATACTATACATGGGAGTCAACATCCAAAAGAGGATACCTCTTCCTCCTTTTTATATTGAAAACCAAGAGCTTTGTACAGGAAAGTGACTATGTACAGAGAATGATCTGCAGTATAGCCTTTTTATTACACTAGTCTGTGGTCAATGATTGTAAAAAATAAAAAATCAATTGTTGCCTACTAGCTAAGTTTGGTCCAAGATCAGTATATGAATCGTAAGATGAGTCTGGTATTCATGTCGATGTACTTTCCTCCCAGATCACTAACTAACCCAACATCCAGTCAGTTATTTTATTGTGATGCTTCAATGGAGTTACTTTATATATTTTCTGTTTGTGTTTCTTAAAAAAAAAAAAAAAAAATGTATCTTGTATCAGATAAATATATAATATTATCATCCAGTCAGTCAGAGATGTCATAGTGGCAGGCTACAGAAAGAGAACAAGTGGGTGTCGTAAAGTCGGTTGGTACAGATTAGAGAATCCAATACAACGGAATCTAATTAGAGCGAAGTGTTTTTTTGTTCTTCTCCCTGCGTACGCCACAGAATAATGGGTTATTTCAGACCGTTTAGTGTGTGCTATCTAATTCATGTTAGTCATTCATATCAAACACTCATTGTGGTAAAATAAACATGCTAGGATAATATACAGACTGTGGTAATAACATGCTCCACTATACAGAGTATAGCAGGGTATGAAAGCTGCCTTCCCTTTTCTCTGGATCTGATATAATTTCTGCTTTGTTACTAACAGTGTTATTTCTGACATTTCTAATAAAATACCTTGTTAAAATTAATGTTTCTGATTTACTGTGAGTGTTGTTGTCATTAACTAGTTGTATCTGTTTTTATTAACTTGTATGTTCGTACATGCTGCTGTTCTCCTTGACATAGTAAAGCACAATCACAAACTGAACTGAAGAGAACCACAGCAGTTTAATTAAATGGCAAAATGTTATTTTGTGAAAAGTTTAGTAGATTTGAGATTCAGCCATTCAAAGAAAGCATAATAGAACATTGATTCAAAGAAAGCAGGATATAACATCCATACAAAGCTAGTCTCTGAGATGAGCACAACATATCTCACTGAACTCTCACAGAGGTTATCTATTTACAGAGGGAGAGCGTTCACTGTGTGGCCTTTCAGTTGTACAATAACAACACAGCCATTTTGCAATCAGCTTTTTACTGGAGCAGACCAAAATGTATCTATTGTTACTCAATAGTCTGGTGTACAAACGCTCAAAATTACACAACCTGAAATTACATTTGAGGAGAGATGAGTCAGCTTTTGCATTAAGCAGCATATTTTCTTGTAAACCTACATAAGGCATTGTTGGTCACATGTTACAGGTTACATAGGGCAAATTACTCATAATTCCCTAATAAGATCTTCGTGTACTATTTGTTCAAAGTAAATAAAGGCCACAAAAAACAACAGGTCGAGTGGCAAATGAGGGAACCCTTCCCCAAATACTGAAAAGCCACTCGCCTGCCCTCCGATCATTCTCACCGCTCTTCCTCACAGACTTGATCTGATGAACTCTTCACAGGTGTGCCGTTAACCCTGCGCTCAGCGGCGTAACCTTATCAGCTCTCGTCTTTTGTATTGGTTGACTTTACCGAAAGGAAAGTTTTCGCTTAGGGTAAGAATTTGCTTCACTGCTTTTCTTCCTTTGCCTTCTGTTGTAGCTAGCGTCACACCGCTAGCTGCGGAGATTTGGCTAGCTCAGCTGCAAGGCTTCGCTAACCTGGCTATCCTACCTACTGGCTTTTCTACAGAAGGGTAGAATTACTAGACCGACAGTCCTAGCGCCGCTGCTTATTGGTCGAGAGCCAGGCTTTTGTTCGTCGCAAGACCAACATAGCGCTAGCTAACTTTGTGCTAACTACCTAGGCAACTAGCCCACATGGCGAACATTAGCTACGTTTACATTATTCGCTAGAGCGCGATGGGACAAGGAAATCCCGGTCGGCCAAAACCTCCCCTAACATGGACGATGCTGGGCCAATTGTGCACCGCCTCATGGGTCTCCCGGTCACCGCCGGCTGATCGAACCTGGGTCTGTTGTGACGCCTCAAGTACTGCGATGCAGTGCCTTAAACTGCTGCGCCACTCGGTGGTACGTTGACATTGTTATAGGATTCGCTTCTCTGGTTTACACTTGGCTAACTAGCTAGGCTACTACACCAAGTGACGAACGCTGGCAACGTTTGTTCTCGGATTAGCTGTTTCTTGGAGCCGTGGAACCTGCTAGCTCGGCCCAGGGGGTACCAAGCGGTGGATGTGAGCGGAGTAGAGCGTGGAGTAGGTTTAAAAAATGTTGTAGCGTCTGCCTTCTCTCGCTCCAATTTCGCTCTGGTACTGCTCATCCATGAGCTCTGGGCATGCATTTTTTTTTATTTCCTTCCTTGTTCTTTTATTAGGCCTATTCTGTTGTATGTATTTAGCCTATCCCCACCACTAATGTGCAGAGATGTTATGAGTCGACCAAGAAATAGGTCACACAGCCTGTGTAATTGATAGCAAGACAACGAATGAGCCTATGCAGCAGCACCGAGACGTTTGGATTTGTATATAGGCTATTGTTTTAAAAAAGAGTGTTTGCAACAGTGCTAAAGTTGTCTATCAACTGTAAAATGGGAGGGCTACAGATCTACAGTTACAACTGAAGTATCTGATCATCAATAGATGAGAGAAAAAGCAATTTTTTTTTTTTTTTTTGCAGTGGCTGCATATCATCAGGTAGGTCCTTGTTTAATAGCCTACTGTTTAATAGTCTACTTCATAGTCACAAAAGTAGATGGTGTTAGTTTAAATGATCTTTAAGAGAGAGAAAAAATGAATGGAGCGAATTTGGAGCGGCAGTTTATTTTCCTGTAAGGGCAGAACTTTTTATTTAAAGCGATGAGTGGAATATCCGACAGCTCAACTCCGCTCACATACTCTGGTACCAAGCAAGGACCCAGCACACCCATTACTATGTATGCGGGACGACCATTTCGGGCAAGAACACTCACTCCCTGTGTGTCATCTGCCTGGGTGTCAAACACAGGGAAGCAGAGTTTGACGACCCCCGGTCATGCATCCATTGTGGGTTTTTTGCTGCTAACACCCTACGCCGGAGAGTGCAGAGAGCAGCCCAACGTGGTTCGTCTCCCACTCTTAACTCGTGCTGGGAGACTGCCTTGCAGACCCAGCCCTCATGGGCACTGAGTTTGAAGGTAGGCCTTGAAATACATCCACAGGTACACTTCCAATTGACTCAAATTATGTCAATTAGCCTATCAGAAGCTTATAAAGCCATGACATCATTTTCTGGAATTTTCCAAGCTGGTTTAAAGGCACAGTCAACTTAGTGTATGTAAACTTCTGACCCACTGGAATTGTGATACAGTTAATTATAAGTGAAATAATCTGTCTGTAAGCAATTGTTGGAAAAATTACTTATATCATGCACAAAGTAGATGTCCTAACCGACTTGCCAAAACTATAGTTTGTTAACAAGACATTTGTGGAGTGGTTGAAAAACAAGTTTTAATGACTCCAACCTAAGTGTATGTAAACTTCCGACTTCAACTGTATACATACGTAAATATACATACATATAAATACATATACATATAAACTCAGCATAAAAAGAAACATACCTTTTTCAGGACCCTGCCTTTCAAAGATAATTTGTAAAAATCCAAATAACTTCACTGATTTTCATTGTAAATGGTTTAAACACTGTTTCCCATGCTTGTTCAATGAACCATAAACAATTAATGAACATGCACCTGTGGAACGGTCGCTAAGATACTAACAGCTTACAGACGGTAGGCAATTAAGGTCACAGTTATGAAAACTTAGGACACTAAAGAGGCCTTTCTACTGACTCTGAAAAACACCAAAAGAAAGATGCCCAGGGTCCCTGCTCATCTGCGTGAACGTGCCTTAGGCATGCTGCAAGGAGGCATGAGGACTGCAGATGTGCCCAGGGCAATAAATGGCAATGTCCTTACTGTGAGATGCCTAAGACAGCGCTACAGGGAGACAGGATGGACAGCTGATCGTCCTCGCAGTGGCAGACCGCGTGTAACAGCACCTGCACAGGATCGGTACATCCAAACATCACACCTGCGGGACAGGTACAGGATGGCAACAACAACTGCCCGAGTTACACCAGGAACGCACAATCCCTCCATCAGTGTCTGCAATAGGCTGAGAGAGGCTGGACTGAGGGCTTGTAGGCCTGTTGTAAGGCATGTCCTCACCAGACATCACCGGCAACAACGTCGCCTATAGGCACAAACCCACCGTCGCTGGACCAGACAGGACTGGCAAAAAGTGCTTTTCGCTGACGTGTCGCGGTTTTGTCTCACCAGGGGTGATGGTCGGATTCGCGTTTATCGTTGAAGGAATAAGCGTTACAGGCCTGTACTCTGGAGCGGGATCGATTTGGAGGTGGAGGGTCCGTCATGGTCTGGGGCGGTGTGTCATAGCATCATCAGACTGAGCTTGTTGTCATTGCGGGCAATCTCAACGCTGTGCGTTACAGGGAAGACATCCTCCTCCCTCATGTGGTACCCTTCCTGCAGGCTCATCCTGACATGACCCTCCAGCATGACAATGCCACCAGCCATACTGCTCGTTCTGTGCGTGATTTCCTGCAAGACAGGAATGTCAGTGTTCTGCCATGGCCAGCGAAGAGCCCGGATCTCAATCCCATTGAGCACGTCTGGGACCTGTTGGATCGGAGGGTGAGGGCTTGGGCCATTCCCCCCAGAAATGTCAGGGAACTTGCAGGTGCCTTGGTGGAAGAGTAGGGTAACATCTCACAGCAAGAACTGGCAAATCTGGTGCATTCCATGAGGAGGAGATGCACTGCAGTACTTAATGCAGCTGGTGGCCACACCAGATACTGACTGTT